AACAGTTACTGCATTCTTTTGGATCAGAGAAAAACATACAAATCAGTATCAGAATACATCACATTAGCAACAAAGCAAATGACTTCCTACAACCATTTGTGACAAGCAAGACAAAACTAAGGAGCTAGCTTGGTCTGTTTATACATCCAATACTTTATAGAAGTGGGTATGCACATAACTTTCAGTCAGAGACGAGCCAGAAAACAGAGTTCCACATAGCCATAATTAGAAAAAAAAAAAAAAGACAGGCCACAGAAAACTGACTCCTACTGCAATGAACGACTGAATCCTCAAAGCCAGGGCATTTAGAAAAGCATGCAATGGATAGCATCCAAGAGCAATTGCCATTTTAAAAATCACCGTCCTTACTTAAAAGGCCCAAAACGTAATTAAGGATATCACAATAATAATTCAAAACATGAAGTATTTTCAGAGCATACATAGGAAAGCTGTCATCGCCGAGCCTGCTTACAAACCCAGGCAAAATGCAAAAACTGTGAAGTCGTCATAAATTGGTAGAAACCCCTTGCACAGTGTCAGAGAGAAGGCCATTCAACATAAAAGTAAGAAAGAAAAGAAAGGATGCACTTGTTTATCCATTTTTCATAAGGTTATGTTGAAAAACCTGACATAAGATTTTTTTTTTTATTCCAAAGACAGAAAAAATATCATTACTTGTCTAGTACTATAGTCTTTGTGGCTTTTTACACAGTCATGCTTCAACAAGCCATGAAATTCAGAGTATAAACATCCAATAGGTGCAGTAGAAAAACAACCTCTCACCTTTCTGCCAGAGATCTTTTACAGAAGCCTCGTGCATCTCTGTCTCAGATGTAGCACACTTTATGTACATAAAGTAACTTCACCAAAATAACTTCCTAATCGGGGGTACTTCAGTGCTCACAGGACATGCTTAATAAAAAATGCTTAATAAAATAAAGTTTTAAAGCATTCATCAAACTTGTCTTGCAAATTTAAGTGTTTGAGATAAACTAATGATGTTTCCAAAACTTAGCTTGACATGCAGCTGTTCACATTCTGGAGGGTATAAAATAACTAGCCAAAATTCACAGACATTCAGTCCTGAAAATTCATATTTAGGCATCTCAAAGTCAGCACACACAGAGGTAAGGTGTGGTCAATGATCATCACCTTCTTGCTGGGCTGAAATCTCCAGTGTATTTTTTGACATTTACAGCAAGATCTCAGATCTTTGTGTATCTTCTTGTAAAGTCTTCAATGTAGAAAGGAGCATCTAACTGTTCTAGAAACATCAGCTATTCCTTTTGTCCTTTTTCAATTGTGGTTCTTGCTAATTCAAGGAGGCCAGGAAGAGTTAAGCACATAATTAAAATAAAATCATGTCAACTGAAGCTAGGAACTACTGAAATATCAAATCTGATCCAGCTGCCAGTCGGAGTTGTTCACACTGACATTTCTCCTGTCACATACCACCACAGTTAGTTTTAAACCTGCACAGCGTCAGCTTTAGCTCTGCTCATATAAAGACAGAAAAATAATGTGACAGCCCCAAAGAAAGCAATGAAGGCCTGAAACTAAGCAAAATTATTCCTTGTGCAGTGTGACCTTTTCTTTACCGAAATACATAGAACCTTCCTTAATAAGCTAAATTTTTAAAGAGTGTTGGTGGCTGCAGGTAAGGAAAGAGAGAAGCGAAGGCCATTGTCAAATCCCCTTTTTCCTATCTGTTAGAAATAAACAAAAATCCTGCCCACCCAATAAGAAAAAGAAATCTCTGACAGAGCAAGCAGCTTATGTGGTGACTGACACTGAAATAACTACCATTAGGACCTCCTAAACGAAGGGAGGAGATAGAAGGGAAAAATGAGAATAGAAGAAAAGTATACAAGAACTTGAACAGAGAAACTTATCTGCACATAAAGCAGCAGCAGAACAAAAGTTAAACTGATTTAACCGTCTGTTAAGAAACGGATCATTAAAATCCATACAAATCTAGACTTAGTAAAGCTATACCAATATACTTGTTATCTGCAAAGGCTTGTTTAAGAAAACTTACTGCAACTGATGAGACCTGAAGGTTCTGGATAGAAAAAGGCAAATGAAGAAGCATATTGGGGGG